GATATCCTCACTTCGGCCAGCACCGGGCCGAGCGGCCGGGTTTCGGAGATAGAGCTGAACATTCAATTCCGTCTTACGGGACACATCGAACTTGAAGGCGGTATTGTCTCCGGCCCAGAGGGGATTTTCGGGCGACCCTGAAACTGCGTCGACAAAAACCTGGTTCTTCTCGAAATCCAACAGAGCGTAGGGAAGATACTTTGTCGAATACCGACCGTGGATTGTGGGCGCAGCATTGATACCCCCGCTAGTCGATTGAGGACGGCCATTATGGACGAATGATGCGGCCTGGCCATGAGCGGAGTGGGAGGACGAGGAGCTCGGGCGCATAGCATAGTTGTTTTGGAAATGCGAATTGAAGATCTGTTGGTACTGCGGGGAAAGGGCGAAATCCCGGCCTTCGTGGAGGGTGACGATCAGGATACCGGGCTTGACGGGAGCCACGGGAGGCGATACGAGAGATTCCGAGGCATCTTTTCACATGTTAGGACGTGCCCGTGATAACCGAGAGACATAAGCTACATACTGATTCCATTGATGTTTGACGTGGGAATAGTTGGAGTCGGAGCCTGCGAAGCCACAGGGGTCTCTTCGCCGGGCTCGCCCTTAATGGTGGATGTGGATGAGGACCGGGTAAAGGTTTGCGTCAAAGGAGCAAGGTGGGTTTCCTTTAATTCTATATGAAGTGGGTTAGATAGAGGTCATCTTGCAGAATGGGCCAAATTGATGCTATATATAGAAAATAAGGGACATACTTTTGGTGAGTTTCCAAGACATTGTGACAGGCGGTTTAGGATATCCAGGATAAAGGTGAGAGAGAAAACGGAATGCAGTAGGATCTTGATCAAGTTTGTCACGGACTAAATAAAAAAAAAATAAAAAAAACTAGGGAGGGAATGAAACAAAAAGGAGGTCGTTCTTAGTACCCCAAAGGGTTGGTGCAGAGATGCGGTACCGCCACAGCCACAGCGGTCAGAAACACACAGAGAAGGGAACCTGAGGGGGATCAGGGAACTGGGATCAAGAGATAAGATGATCGGAGACTGTACAGGGAGAAGTTAAGAAGGGGGAAGAACAACAACAACAATAATAACCAGGGCCGGAACAAATTCCAACAACGACCCAGATTTTAAAAAAAGAAAATAAAAAAAACAAGCAAGATGGACTCTGTCTGAACGATGGAAAGGGAACAAACACAGATCGAGGGGAAAACCAGAAGGGGGCACGGGAGAAGGAGGGGGGGCAAAATCACCCGCTATCATTGGGTCAGGAACATGGCTGCCTGGGTCCATTCCTGGGACACCTGAGGCATCAGTGCCCCTGGGGCGGTGCAGAACCCTGAAGATTCAGGCTTCCAAGCCCACTAGCCCCGATGGCTAAGCCACTTTGCCCGCCGGGATCTGGCGATGCCGCTATGTACCGAAGCTAACTGCAACTTCAGCTCCCAATAGAGATCAGCCAGCGCATCGTCATTAGGAACTTATCTCACCCGCCCGATTGACATATCTCCTGTGCCGAATAATCCGTTCTTGACTGGCCAGTTGACCGCCCGCTCACCTGACCGATCCCCACTCAACTGCGGAGATTCCCCTTCGCGTTCTCCGACTTCCCCATCTGGACCATCTCACAACTTGATCGGATCGCCCCATATCAGCCCTCTATCACCACAAGAGGGCGCGGAATCTAGTCGAAACGGCTCAGGATACAGTGGAGGATGAAAGGGATTCACAATCGATGGGCGTAATACGGAAGAAGACCGCCTCGCGCGGCACGGAAGCTGGGACCAAGTACCATTGCGATATCTGTTCGGTGGACGTGACTTCAACGGTATGGAGGCACCGATGTCAATGAAATTACACGGGCTATATCTAACTGCAGTGTAACAGGTTCGTGTATCGTGCGCCCACCCCACCTGCCATGAGTACGATCTCTGCGTTCCTTGTTTTGCTGCCGGAGAGAAGTCCAAGAACCATGACCCGTCCTCACATCCGTTCCAAGTGATTGAGCAGAATTCGGTTCCGATCTTCCAGGAAGATTGGGGAGCGGATGAGGAACTTTTGCTGTTAGAAGGCGCGGATATTTATGGATTAGGGTCATGGGCCGATATCGCAGATCATATCGGTGGTTACCGAACTAAGGAGGAAGTACGAGATCACTATATCGACACATATATAAACAGCCCGAATTTCCCATTACCCGAACGCGCCGATCCGGATGATACGCGACTGTCCGACTCGATCTCCAAGGAAGAGTTCCAGCTCCGCAAGAAGCGTCGCATCGAGGAGCGCAAGGAGGCGGCCAAAGCAGCTCCTCCAACGACACCAAAACAAAAGCCGACTGCCAGTGTTCCGGCTTGTCACGAAGTGCAAGGTTATATGCCTGGTCGTCTCGAGTTCGAGACAGAATTTATGAACGATGCGGAAGAAGCAGTGCAACATATGACGTTCGAACCGGGCGCTGGTGAAACGGCCAACGGTGAAACCGATGCAGAGATGGAGCTGAAGATGACGGTAGTGGACATCTACAACTCGCGCTTGACCGCCCGAACGGAGCGCAAGAAAATTCTGTTTGAGCACAGCTTACTTGAATACCGCAAGAACACGGCATTGGAAAAGAAACGCACCAAGGAGGAAAGGGATCTACTAAACAAAGCGAAGCCGTTTGCTCGAATGATGAACCATGATGACTTTGAGGAGTTCAACAAGGGCTTAGAGTACGAACACAATCTACGGTTAGCCATCACACAACTGCAGGAGTGGCGACAGATGGGGATTGGAGACCTTAAAGGAGGAGAAAAATACGAGCAAGAGAAACAACAACGCGCCCAGAGACTCGTGCCACAAGGGTCCTTTGATCGGTTCGCCAGCACAAGACCGAAGCAGTCACAGCAGCCTGAAGGTCCCTCTGCAGCCAGCCAGCTGACCACACCCGAGCTCCCTTTGCGGTTACAAAAGGCATCCGGCGCAAACAAGGCACCGGAGCCGGTTAACCAACCGATGAACGACTTCGACCGAGCATTTGCAAGCAACGGAGACGGCCTCACGACGCCGCAGCCAGCCAAGACGAAGTTCGTAGTCCAACCGCTCAATGGAGTCATTCCATGGAAACTAGAGAACGATGGTGCACCCGACCTCCATCTTTTAACCAAGGAAGAGGTGGAAGTATGCAACGTGCTACACGTCCAGCCGAAGCCCTATTTAGTAATCAAGGAGACCCTCCTCAAGGAAGCAATGAAACAAGGAGGGAGCTTGAAAAAGAAGGACGCGCGAACAATCTGCAAGGTAACCTCCACTCCCGTCCATTCTACAAAAAAAAAAAAAGAAAAAGAAAAAGAAAAAAGAAAAGAAATCTAATCAATCCCATAGATCGACGCGACCAAAACGGGCCGAATTTATGATTTTATGGTGCACAGCGGCTGGATCAACAAGGCATAGTCCAATTGATGAATGAGTCGACAGTTTTATATCCAAGGGTGTCAATGGAACGGAGTTGGGCGTTGCCGGGGTGGTATAAGTGTAGAGCATAACAAAGGCTTGAAGCGGGCTTTATTATTTTATCTTTACCCTTGTCATCAAGAACTAATTTTGAATACACAAACACACACTCACCTTGTAGATACTACACTCTGAGCGAGTCCCTAAACTTCATTACCCATCTACTAACAACAGTAGTCAATACTAGTCCAACTACTAGTATCAAACCAAGCAACTCCCAAAACTCCACATAAATAATCACAAAAATAACCTTCTCCGCATTTCGGCCCTCGGCAACGCTTCCCCATCAAACTAAAACCAACAAAAACCCCCAAGATAAAAACCACGACAACCCATAACCCCAATAAGTAAAATAAAAACCATACACAAAACAAACACAAACAACAAAAGAAAACCAAGTACCGAAGAAGGAAAAAAAAAATGTCCTTCAAAACCCCACCTCCAACCCCACAACACGCCAAAGTGACCTTCCCAACCCCAAACGTCCTACAAGTGACGCTCTCACGGCCGAAGGACCTAAACTGCATAAATACAGCAGGTCACAATGAGCTGCACGCGCTCTGGGAATGGATGGACGAGGAGCCGAGTATCAGGGTTGGGGTGTTGACAGGGGAAGGCAGGGCGTTTTGTGCCGGGGCGGATTTAAAGGGTATGTTATATGGTTATTACGTTATCTCAGATTAGCTCCTGATCTACATACATATATCCATCCATCTATTGATCTACACCGTCTGCTATTGTTATATTTGATTGGTTTTTGATAAGAGACGGGATACATATACTAATTGAGTTGAAATAGAATGGAACAACCAAGTGAATAGTGCCGAAGGATCGAAACGACAACAGCCGTCGTCCGGGTTCGGGGGTCTTTCCCGACGAAGTGGGAAGAAGCCTATTATCTGTGCTGTGAATGGGATCTGTCTGGGTGGTGGATGTGAGATGATTGTCAATGCGGATATGGTGATTGCGTGTGAGAAGGCCTTTTTCGGGTTTCCCGAAGTTCAGCGCGGAGTCGTTGCGATTGCGGGGGCGTTGCCGCGGGTGGTACGGACCATTGGGAGACAGCGGGCAATGGAGATGGTCTTGACGGGGCGGCGGGTAACGGCGACTGAGGCGGAGAAGTGGGGATTTGTCAATGAAGTGCTGCCCACGCCAGAAGAAGTGGTGACGCGCGCATTGGAGATAGCGGGTCAAATCGCGGCGAATAGTCCCGATGCCGTAATCGTCAGTCGGGAGGGGGTCAAGTTGGGCTGGGAGGGCGTTGGAGCTGAGGAGGGTAGTCGCTGGTTGATCGACGGGTGGCAGAAGAGGCTAAATGAGGGCGAGAACATCAAAGAGGGATTGAGGGCATTTGTAGAGAAGAGGAAGCCAAAGTGGGTGGATAGTAAATTGTAGATGCACTGCAGTACTACAAATGTACATTTGCGAACAAGAACACCTATACACTTCTACAAGAACGAGAATTGTAAATTCCTACAGATGCCAACTACACAAAAGACCGAAGGATAATCTCATAATCATTAATTTCATTAGACTCTTATGCGCTGCACTAAGTCAATACAAATCATCATGTATGCTAATCCGAGATCCCATTGAATGCTTCCATTCGCGCCGTCCATATGTTCGCCGTATCCCATGCAGCTCATGCCCGGCCAGCGGACAGAACAGTTTGATATCATATCAAATATCCCTCGGGCGATCCATATATGTGATGGACTCGGGACCCTTCGTTTTCTGGTAATAAAAAAGGTGTATAGTGGTGTGTAAAACGAGCGGGCATCACATCGCTTATTTGGCACCTTGTTGGACCGTGGACACACGCTCTACCACATGAGAAAAGAGTGGGTGGTCCTTCTCCAATCCGGTGAGCTGGGAGGTGGCGTCCTCGGCCGAGTTCTCCTTCAGAATGCGAGCAAGCTCGGAACTCTCCTCGTCGCCTGGGACGTTCTGGAAGCGAAGAGCCATCTCGATGGCGCCCAGCAGAGCATCGAACTTCTGGCCGCGCTCTGCGAGCTGCGAAGCAGGTCCAATGAATCGTTCCTTGCGAGACAGTTTGCGGAGAGGAGCACGTCCCACACGCTCAACGTTGTCTTCGAGATAGGGGTTGGAGATACGGCTGACGATCTTGTCAACGTATTCCTTCTGTTCCTGCTCTGAGATTTCATGCTTGGATACAATTAGAGAAGCAGTCTCCTCAAGCACCTTGTGCACAGTCTCGCGAATCTCTGGGTCTTCGAGGGCCTCAGCGATCATCTTCTTGCCAAGCTTGTGAGCATAGTAGGCCGTGGTAGCATGACCAGTGTTGACGGTGAAGAGCTTGCGTTCGATGTAAGGTTCGAGGTGGTCCACCCAGTGGATGGCAGGAATGTCGGGATGACCCCATTCGCCAAAAGGAGTCTTTTCCACGGCCCACTCGTAGAACTTCTCGATGCGAACATTGAGACCACTGTTCGGGGGCTGGTTGGGGACGATGCGGTCGATAGCCGAGTTGGCAAAGCGGGCACGCTCGGAGAGAGTCTCCAGACGGTCAGGGTTAGTGTGCTGCTTGATGTAGCCGTGCAAGGTATCTGTAGCACCGATAGCGTTCTCACAGGCGATCACAGCCACGGGCTTCTTTTCGGTGCGCGCATCAATACCCTTGGCAATGACTGGCGCGATGAACTTGAGGATGTTGGGACCGACAGCACAGGTAACCACATCAGCCGATGCGATCTCCTGAACGACGTCGGCCTCATGCGTCTTAGAGTTGATAGCGCGATAGTTGGTGATAGTCTTGGTGCTTTCACCCTCTTCGCTGACCTCCGTGACATCGTACGACGGGGTCTGCTGCAAAGAGTTGATGACGCTATCCATGACATCAATGAAGACGACTTCATAGTCGGCAGCGTGGAGGAACTCAGCCACAAAGCCACGGCCAATGTTTCCACCACCAAACTGGATTGCCTTTTTACCCATAATGAAAGTGGAAAGAGGGTTGTTGTTGCTGTGGTGGTGGTGGTGGTGATGATGATGATGGAAGTAGGATAGAGAGAGTAGATGAAAGTAGTAGTAGTGGTAGTGGTAGATGAGAGAGAAAGGAGGATGGGGGGGTATCAGAAAGAGATCCTTGTGAAGTAGGAAAGTTGTTGTTATTGTTGTTGACGATGGTGATTTCTTGGGAAACAGAAAGAGGGGTAACGAGGGGTATATGTACTACAAGAACATTTGACGATGGAGGACAAGAGAGGGGTGAATGAAAAGGGAAGGAATGATGCAGTGACGCTTCGTATGGAACGGCAAAGAAACCAAACTCTGGGCGAGAATGGAACCCCTACAATATCCTCATTCACGACTGGTGGAACTGGAGTGGGGAAGGGGGAAAAACGTGCCTATGGGAATAGTATCAACTTAACACATGGGGACTAGGAACGCAGTCTTCCGGAGGGCTCAGACTCTTTCTGGGGGAATTGTGGCTATTCCCGTGCAAAAACAGGAAACGAGGGGATTGGTTTTCGTCATTATATTGGGTATTAGTTCAGGTCATCAATCCAACCAGAACCTCAGAATTTCTGATCCGGACCATTCCGTGATCGTCCTCGCGATAGGGTCATGAATCTGATTCGGTATCACGTTACGCAGGAACTTGAGACCCAATTGTCACCCGATATTCTCTCTTTACAGTTACACTTGAACATTGTCCAGTCGGGGTTACACTCCGCTAGGTGACCATAATCCGACTCACCTTTTAGCCGAACGGGCTAGTTCGACTTGCTGTCCATACTCCGTCCTGTACGGCGTAAATCGTCAATGCGGTTATGGAATCCCTGCTCATCCCCCGAGTGGATTCCCTGCAAGACAGAACTGAACGACTTCTGATCTCTTCATTTCCCCCTCGCGAATAAGACTGGTCAATTCCTTCCGATAATTTTCCAGTCATGACAACGATAAGTCGTAGTCAACTTAACGTCATCATTTGACATCCCTTGAATCCATCGAGTGACCCACTATCAACGATAGAATCGCAGGTATAGCGGTTGGAACGGAGGGAACCGGGTTGCCTCATTTGGCGAGACCTTCTCACGGGTCCACTCGTGACGTCGCCATCCGCGGGAGACCCAATTTTTTTCTCACACTATGAGTATGATCTCAAGACCCCTTCCACTGCCATACTGCCATTGTATTGCGAACAAGGTCCACTTCACCAAACACTGTTACAACATCATCGATCAAAAATCAACAGATAGTCATGGAATTTCTTCTACTAAGGACAGAACTGTCGAGATTCAGTGGGGCTCTTATCTTTTTCTTTCGACGTATATCCAATTTTGGGCTCCAACTCAACATATTTGCACAAGAATCACTCCTCCCGATTCGTTCCCTTTCCTTGGCTTTCTCCGATGTTCTTTTCGCTTTTCCTACTTTTCCTCCTTTAGTTAATTCCTCCTCCCCCTTTTCTTTATTCGTAGTATTCCTCTCCATTCCGTTCCTTTCTTAGTCACCCTTCTGGTTCGACCCTACCGAGTCGGAATCCTCGGCCACCGTCTTCGGTTCTGCCACCGGTTCATACTGGTCTGCCGATCGGTTACGGTCCACCAATACCGTAAGTAAACTGACAATGCCTCCGACCAGCAGCAACCCGACGGCAGCCCATGTCATTCCTAAAAATTGATGTCCATACGTCGCCGTCACACCGGACTCCTCTCCGTGACGATTGATGAGTTTTACAAATTGTAATGCAATGACTGTTGCGATAATGGACGGAATGCTGAGCATAGTGAAACTGAGCTGTGGGCCTTCTTAGTACCGGATGGGATCTAGAACGTCCAACGGGGCTTACCACGAGAGAAGAAACTTCTACAACCGTCTGTCTCGGTCCTTTCGCGATCACGAACCACAGTCGTTCCAAGACCGCCAGTCCCGCTAACCCTATCCCAATACAGTAGAAGACGCCCATGCTCTGGGTGGTAGCACCGAACGTGCGTAGATCATCCGTGATGGAACTCGGCCATCCCAGGCTAGATAGTGAGGTGCTGTTACCAGCATCTTTCGTTAATGCTTCTGTCGCATTGAAGGAGAACAGTAGCGACGGGTGTGAACATGCGGTCCAGTTTCGACTTTCTGCATGCAGGAATCCCTCACAGTAGGACATGACATATATCGAATAGAAGTCCCGCATCCCCGTGCCATTGCCTATCCTCGTCGTATATATCTTCGACTGTCGTTAGTCCCTGCTCATCCAAGCGAGTGTGACGAAGGCTAACACACCGTGAAGAGATCCGTATCTAATAAAAGGTTTGTTTTCGTCCCTGCAAAGAGGCATAGTATGCCCAGAATAAAGGCGATAAACGCGGTTAATGTGGGTAGTACGTCGCTCCAATTGAGCATCTTGTCGGTGCTGTGCTAATATCTGCGATAGTAATCACCGCTGTAAATCTCCGCTCTTGAACTCTATCACGCAAAGTCGTGGCATCATGGCATATACATAGTCCTGCGCTAGTGATAATCCTCCGGTAGTCACCATTCTTCGAGATGGCGAACAAATATTCATCCATACTTCGGTCACTGAAGCAAGACATGCCCCGATCTCACATTTCCTCGAGGCACCTGTGCAGTCGACACTAGTACACTGGCAGTTATCAGCATGTCGGAAAAAGAAGGTCGATTGATTTCATTGGCCAGATCAACGTCCATGACTTGCAGCAGGAATGTTCGGATATAGACGCCAGGTGGGTACTGTTGCATGCGATAGGCTCCAGCCGATCTGGGGAATGTGTGCGCCAACGTCTGGTATGCTCCATTGTGAGGTACGAGGACGCCAGTCCTGAAAACAGGTTTCCATATATACCAAGGGGTAGGAATCTTCCCACTGTCGTAATTTCGTTCTCGCCCTCTGGCATACAACGTCTCCGTTCAGCCCGTAGAAGTCATTTCTCAATATTACCGTAACTCATTGAGGTTGTCTTCGAGTTTTTCTTAGAGTTACCCTTTTCGGGTGTTTTTAAATAATGAAGAACTGAATTATTGTGTTACCAATCCAATGCCATTGTACTTTCGAGCCCTCACAATTATGTCCTGATTGAACATCATCTACGGGCTACGTCCAAATTGGCCTTACGTATATCCAGCCTCAGTGAAAATAATTCAATATAATCTAAGACGCATATTGGTAATAATACCATCTCTTACCTATATGCAAAGCATATCAATCAGTAAACCCCTCCCACATGACCACCTTCCGACCTGTCAGTCACGATACAACTGCATACAAACCGGCTACCGAAGAATCATAACCCCCTCAATAGACCGAGTAACTACTAGTAGTTCCACCCATCCATTAGCAAAATCTACCCGGATAAATTAGGGAAAAAACAAAAAAAAAAAACAAAAAAGCACATTGCACATCTCCAGACAACCCTCCACGAAAACACCCACCAAATCTGCCCACAACTACTCAGTTCACTATGACTCATAACAACACTTCCCACCATTCTTCTGACATAAAAGCATCTAGTGCGATATTTTGCCACATCCATAAAAAGGGGGGAGCCTGCAGCCGAGGTGGCGCCAGACATATACATATACTACGACGGGCCAATTACAGACACCGGTAGTGGTTCCATTGTATGTAATATCAGGTTTGGTGAATTAGGGATTAATTAATATATGTGTATAAGCATCTTTGGTTTGGATGATTCCGTGGTCTTGGAAATTATATATAGGCTTTGCCTTATTTATAGTTGCTGTGCAGTGTTTAATGTCGTGGGATTGCTGCTCACATCTTGGTATATTCGATATAGTAAGATATTCAAGAAAATATTTTCTGGTGGCGAATAAGTCATGCTATATCATGTATCAAACACCTAATCCTATAAATAGCTAGCTAGCTATCTAGCACGTCCACTCGCTTTGGGCTTCCTTCGATATGTAGATCTACATACATGAGTCCTTGTCAGTCCTTTCTCCTACTCGTTATAGACAACCTTTTATTTTACAAGTTGTTGATGACTTCGAAATTAGAGAAATTGCTTCAAGATACTAGCTAAATTTTGAAAATCCGACTATACTGAATTAACCAGGACACTGCCAAGAAACACGATCCTATTGTTGAGAGAATCCCTCCCTAGGGCAGCTTTATTGGGAAGTTCATTGGGCTAAGGGCATAAGTTGATGGATTGGATACCATCCTTCATCTTAGAGATATAGCTCTCGAATTCTTTTGGATGTCTATGGGCGGTAGAAAGCCCCAAGCATGCCCTTTGAATTAAGCTAATTTATGAATAATGATATTACTTCTGTGCAAAATGTCTTATCCTTAGTATCACCTGTGGCTAGAAGCAGAAAGGTTCAATCAGAGAGCAAGTTGGGATAATGTTGATAGTACCCCCCTGTTCAAAGAAACAATGGCCGTGATTTCTACAGTGTCATAATGGATGAGACATAATATTTAAGTCATAGCGGGCAAAATGGTAGAAGAGGAATAAATGGGTAGAAACAAACAACTCTAGAACAATAAGGTAGTAGATACACCCAACTTCTTTCTGCAATCAACTGTCATTTACCTCCCCGCTCATGCCTCAGCTTCTACTTCTGGAGCCCCGTTGGCTGCTGACTCGGCTTGTTCGTCATCGTTGACATCGATAAGGGACTCTGATGAAGGAGGCTCAGGGACAACACCTTCCTTCTCCAGGCGGAGGTACTCATCCCATTCTGGGAAGAGGTCGTCATCGGCGGTAGTGTCGGGAGCACCGGGAGGGACACCGATCAGGCGAGCGATCTTTGTCTTTCCAGACTGCTCGAGCGACTGCTTCCACTGAACTACGAGCTCGGGTGCCCGGGATGGCTTGTAGGTTTGTGTGAAAAGGACGGCTTCCGCGAGGCGGTTGGTCCGCACAAGAAGGTCTGTGCAGGCATCGATATCACCGAGAGACCACAAGGTAGAGAAAGCAACATTGTGCAGACCGGCCTCGGACGCTTGTTCTGCGAGGTTACGGAGACCCTCCTTGTTACCGCTGGCAGTGTGCAAAAGCAGGAGGGAGCCAACATCCTTTGCATTGGTGAAACATTCCTGGGCCAATTCCAGATTCCATCCTGCCAGGGCAGCATCACCAACAGTCTTCCATTTATGTTCGACATTAGCTTCACGAGCAATCTCGAGGGCAATATCGAGATTGTTGAGAGAAAGGGCAAGGTCAAAACGATGTTCGGGATCGGTGGCGACTTCAAGGGCCATGTCCTTGTAGCCCTGACCTTCGAGGAACCGCGCAACCTTGTTGATCTGGTCCTGCGGGATGTCCTTCAGCAGCTCTGCTGCCATATCCATGTCCCCACGAAGAACCACGGTCTGGTACTCGACCATGCTAAGTGAAAGACCAAAAGAAACAACGTTGACATCCTTATCGGCAAGATACACCCTGCCATCGCGAGGCAAGTAGCCGAGGACATACATTGCCTGGTCAAAGTGAGAGATTGTGTAGGTCTGATCACCAACAAGGTAGTTCAATCGGTTCGTCGAATTGGTGTAGATAAAGCAGTCACCAACCCATTGACCTGTTCTGACAGTCTCATTGACATCAGTGACGACTTCGAAGGCCGACTCAACACCATCCTCGTCGGCTTCTCCCTCATTGAGGCCGTTGATGTAGTTCTCCCTCGAGAATCGGAGCACGTAGAATGAGTCCTCACAGGCAAGTGTAACCAACTCTCCCGACTCAGACCAATAAACCTAGAAGCGGTGTTAGCTGATGAGACTTATTCATGGACTTTTTTTTTTGGGTGATTCTTACGGCTTTCGGGTCGACTTCTATGCGACGGACTAGATTGCCGGTCTCCCAATCGAACATACCAATGCCCCCTTGTCCTTTGACACCAAGCAGCACACCGTCGGTAAGACCTTCGGCTTGGAAGCCGACATCTAGGCCGCCGCTGACTTCCTTGAAGTTCCTAAAGATCTTGACACTAGTTGCTGACTCGCGAATAGCATAGTCATTGCTGTTATCCTTCGAGCCCCAGGCGAAATCAAGAGCTTGCCCGAATGCCTTATTTCTCCAAGCAAGAGCAGTGTAGATGATATATTCTCCATCACCGCATACTGAAACGAAACGGCCATTGGGCGAGTGTGATAGCGTCTGTGGGTAGACCTCACATGAGCCCAGCTCCTTGGTCGGCAAGGAGATTGGTGCGCCATCCTTGACAGTAGCATCACCGCCCTTGATGACCGTTGAAACCACTTCATTGTGTCTGGCCCAGACAACCTTTCCCGATCCGTCCATAGAGACAGCGGGTTCCTCGCGTCCCATTTTTACAACCACTGCACCATCATCAAAACCCATTGCGATACCCTGTCTACCACGCTGGTATGCAACACACCACGCTCTTTCAAGACCATAGCTTAACGATTGCTCCAGTCGGTATGTGTTTGCGTGCCAGATCTTGATGGTTCCATCTTCAGATCCCGAAATGATCACTGGTAATTCCGGGTGATAGCAGGCGAAGGAAACGTTACTCGTGTGTCCTTCCAATGTCGCAATGAGCGCTTTCGTGGTGTAATCCCAGACCTTAACCGTCTTATCATCTGAGGTGGTAAGAAGATACGGCTTATCGGCTTGCGGATAGTAGTCGACATAGTTGACACCCTTCGTCTCGTGAGCCTCCAATGTGAAATTGGCATGTGGGGAACCAAGACTCCAGATCTTGACCGTCCGATCCAAGCATGCAGATGCAAATGTGTTTGTGTCCTTAGGGTTAATGGACAGTCCCATCACATAATGAGCGTGGCCTTCGTACACCTGGACACACTTCCAACCTTTCTCCCAATCCCAGAGCTTGATTGTCATATCATCGGAGGCTGTGAGAACGAAAGGTTGGGTTGGATGAACAGCAATCGAACGAATATAATCTGGGTGGGCCTCAAATGAGGCAATCTTCTCGGAAGTGTTGTAGTTGTATACGCGGAGTTGGAAGTCGTCTGATCCGCAAACAATCCAGTTTTTGCGGGCAATAAACCGACCAGCTCGTACAGGGACATCGGTAAGTTCGAACGTTTTGATGATTGACTACGGAGATTGACAGTCAGAAGACGATTGAGCGTGACGTTGCTCATCAAACACTTACCTGAGTCTCGTAGGACCAGATGTATACGTGACCTATGGATTCCGATTAGCGCATTCGGCCTATAACCGTTTATATGCAGATCCCCTAACGCACCGCTGTATAAGGTTGTCAGGATCTGAGGCCCAGTCAGCATAACATGTCGATATTTGAGATCGTAGGGGCACTCACCCATGGCTCTGTCGGATGGAAGTCAATGCCCTTCACTCGCTCCGAGCGAGCAAAGAGCTGTCTCTATTCAGTTACAATTATGGTCAGCAACGATCTCATTTCCCTTCGAATGTATCCCCAAATAAAGAAGCGCCAGCCTATTCCACATTGAAAATTATTCCGAATGACACACGGCGTACCTTAACATCCAGTTTCATGTTGTGTGGGGAAGGTTGATGTCGCGACTATTTGCGGCGTCGGGGGCGGAGGGGAAGAAACCAGGCCACGAGCGGCTCAGACAGCCCAGCCCGGGTTTGCAAATGACTTCCCTTGGAAAGATATATTGAGAGCGCAGAAAAATGAGGAAGTCCCCGACCGGAATGGCCTGTAGGTCACCAATGTAGATGTTCAGGGACACGGCAGCGATGTGTCCACAAGGAGACGGAATCCCGCCAGCTATCTACATTAGCCTAGCGACCTGGACCCTCACCGCCTACGATTCTAGGCTCCATACAAGATATCCATGGAGGATTTCCATTTCAAACTCGTCACAATGCTACTTCCCAATTGTATCCTCTGTAATAGTTATCCTCTAAATTTACACATTCTAAGCATCCTCTAAAAGAGATCGCAATGCCCACAAACACACAGCAGCGTGGCTGTTAACGTTGTCTACAATGTTCCAATGCTTCAACTATCAACCACCTTCGTCTACTGCGCAAGAGGCTGCCTAGATAACCTTGGACTTGATTGTTGTATAGGGCATAAAGACATGAACCTTCTAATACTGGATATAATTTCGACAAGATAGCGTTCCTTTCCATTTGTCACGCATCGGCTAATAAATACAAGTGGGGTTAAGGATCATAGAAATGAACAAGTCTTTTATTCATCTGGGTCAGCCTTTATGCAGAGTCTTTGCGCTCAAAGTAGGACCACTGGCCAGGGGTGGGCTTTTCCTCTAGCTCCTCCCAACTTGTCGGAAGTCAGCATATTCCTTGCATGATCATGCTCCTCAGGTTTTGGGAACTTACACCTTGGACTTGGACATCTCGTCAACGAGCTTCAGCTCACCCTCTGCAACCTGGATAACCTCCTCAAGAAGGCCGGCGCCAATCTGGTTCTCGATTTCGGCAACCCTGAGGTTAATTGTTAGCTTTGGGTTCCCAAGAAAGTGCAACATGTGAACGTACTGCTGTGCTTCTAAGGCGGGTTCGTTTTCCCACTTCATAGCATGAGTTTGGAAATCAGACTCGTTCTCTGCCTTGATCGAGTCCTCGATAGCCTGATGCCACCGAGCTTCTTCCTCTGGAGTACGGGCAGGGCCTTCACTGGTCGGCTCGAGGGCTTCTCCGTCCCACTCCTCACCACGGGGATTGTCGCTTCCATCGCCGCGCATGGCTGCCGCGTACGAGCCATCTGGGCGAAGGAGAGAGGCGAACCGCTCAGGCTCAGTACCAATTGCCTTCTTCACGCGCTCCAACCAAGCCTCATAGCCAGGAGGTTTCGTAGATTCAACAATTTGCAGGCGGTGGCGGGTTAAAGCCTCAGTGGACTGGCGGTAGACAGAAGACTCGGGGAAGGTCTTCAATTTCTGCAAGGTAGTTGTGTAGAGATAGATCAAAGTCGGGCGGGGACTGGGATGGGTGACAAGGCCGGTGATACCGGTGGGAGCGAAAGGCTCCAGGTACCGGGCCGGCTTGACGTTGGCCAGCAACCGGAATGTAGACCGCATTGTATTCGGAGGGTATATGAGAAGAAGAGGGAAAAGAATTGACCCAAAAAGGTGAAGGATATCAGGGCCAATGGCAGACCACGTAATTTAGTATCTCAGGTTGTCATTGACTTCGGGAGCGAAGTTGAGGTTCCGTCGGGAGGCGGAGAAACAGAGATTCCACCAGGACGTTCCGGCCACTTTCATCTGAAGGGAACTAAACTTATCGATCTCTCCGCGCTTAGGGGGTTTACCCATTCTCACCCGCATTCGAGACCATCCTTCGTCTTGAGGACCTGCGGATTTGTCCGCAGATTTCTCTTCAATTTGAATACGATCGCCTGCTTCGGTTTCACAACCGGTTTCTCTGCGGCGGCTGTGCCAGCTTGCTGTGGCCACCGAGCCGCATTTGGACACTCGTTCTAGGGCTTCATGCGCCACTAGTAATATCTTTGGCAATCGCCCTTTGTTCTTACGTTCACTTTTCTTCGAAAACATCGTTTCAAGGTCGTAGACCTTGAATTACAGTCAGTATGAGGGCATCCTTGCTAGCGTATTCGCTTCTCTCTTTATTCTCTATCCCCACTCTCGCTTCTCCTTCCGACAAGGTCCTTGAATCCAGAAATGGCCGACTTGTGAAGAGAGCCGACGATCCCGTCGACCCAGGGACCCTGTCTACTACTTTTAACGGTGTTGAAGTACCTCCTATGAAAGATTTGACGCCTGAAAACTTCGAGGAAACCGTCAAGGACGGCTACTGGTTAGAACTCTCCCTCTCATTTCGGTGTCTAGATGCCAGCTCTAACATCTACCAGGTTCATTAAGGAATTCTCTCCTGCCTGTCCACATTGCCAAAAGATCGCTCCTACCTGGCAGACACTCTATGAGTATTACTATGTCAGTGCTGTGGCTATGCCCATTAGGAAGTGTGTTCGTTCAAGCCTGCTAACAAACGGTAGACTTCGGATCCCTTGGCCTCCTCCTCTTCGAAACCATCCGATACTAAATCTCTGAACTCCTTCCATGGCTTCTACAATTTCCATTTTGCATCGCTGAACTGCCAGGCCTATGGCGACTTTTGCAAAAAATTGGATGTCAAGTACTTCCCGCAATTCTCTTTGTATCACAATGGTGAAAGGGTGGAGGAGTTCACTGGAAAGAAATCCATGGAAGGTCTGAGCGAGTACATTGAAGATAAACTTGAATCGATCAAGCCAGGGTCTCGTCCTGCGAAGGGAGTCAACCTACCGAAGCCCGGCGCCAAGGGCGTGGATACGAAGGCTGAACCAGAGGTCCCTGCTGCTAAAGACAAGGACCCCGAGGCAGGCGCCAAGGCTGGTGAAAAGCACAATGAGCAGGTTTCTGCCGAGGATGCGTCTTCCGAGAAAACCTCTACGTTGAAGACTAAAACGAAACCGAAAGGGGGTCCAGCAAACCCTCAAGGAATCTCTGTTCCCCTCACCGCCGAGAGCTTCCAGAAACTTGTTACGACCACGCAGGATCCCTGGTTCATTAAGTTCTATGCCCCATGGTGCCATCATTGCCAGGCACTTGCCCCTAACTGGCAGCAAATGGCCAAGGAAATGCAAAATGTCCTGAATGTCGGAGAAGTAAACTGCGACGCTGAGCCCAGACTTTGCAAAGATGCTCATGTATCGGCCTTTCCCACAATGTATTTCTTCCGGGGTGGTGAGAGGGTCGAATACAACGGTCTTCGGGGCCTAGGCGACCTAGTCAACTATGCCAAGAAGGCAGTTGACGTTGGCTTGGGTGTTCAGGACGTCGACGCCACTTCCTTCAAGGAGCTGGAGGAGAAGGAAGAAGTCATCTTCTTGTACTTTTACGACCATGCTACGACATCTGAGGATTTTGAGGCTCTAGAGCGCCTAACTCTTAGCTTGATCGGCCATGGACGAATTGTGAAGACTAACAGCGCAGCCCTGGCTGAACGGTTCAAGATTTCAACATGGCCCCGCCTTCTTGTTGTCCGAGACGGTCGAGCCAACTATTACACTCCGATTGCTCCCAAGGACATGCGAGACTTCAGACAGATTTTGGGATGGATGCGCACTGTGTGGTTACCCATCGTCCCCGAACTTACCGCCTCCAATGCTCGGGAAATCATGGATGGTAGGTATGTGGTTCTCGGAATTCTAAGCCGGGGACGCTCGGACGAATTCCTGCAGTCAAAGAGGGAGCTGAAGAGCGCAGCTCTTGAATGGATGGACAAGCAGGTTCAGTTGTTCCAATTAGAACGGGCAGAACTTCGGGACGCCAAACAGCTCCGCATTGAGGAGGCTGATGACCGTAACGACCAGCGCGCGTTGCGAGCTGCCAAAAACATGCGCATCACAATCCGTGAAGATGACAAGAAACAGGTCGGCTTCGCTTGGGTTGACGGCGACTTCTGGGAACGGTGGTTGAGAAACACGTATGGTATTGATGTGGCAAATGGGGAACGAGTCATCATCAACGATCACGATGTAAGTGCCTCCTTGGCGGAAGAAGGCGATTGTTTTCATATTGATACTAATCCGACCAGAACCGACGGTACTGGGACTCATCTTCGAGCGGGTCTCCCATCCTGGCCTCACGTACTTCTATTCTCGAAACTATTCCTCTTGTGATCGCCAACTCCCCTAAGCTGACACCGAAGTCCACTGTCGGCACTTTTGAATCTATCTTTTTCTTCGCTCGGTCCTTCATCGTCAACCACCCCATACTCTTCGTCCTCATCCTGATCTTCTCGGTTGTTGGCGCGACGTTGTTGGCTCGAGCCAGGGGCCGGCGTGCCGGCCGCGGTGGCATTCTTGGTGTCACTAACGGCAGCAATGGTTTCTTTCACCTTGATGGGAAAGAAGGTCTGTTGAACGGCGGCTCAACCGGGAAGGTCGATTAGTTGACAGTATATGATCCGGAAGAATCATTTGTACAGTTATTATATTCATTTTCACCTCTTTTTTCTCTCGTGACCTTTCCCTCCCTCCCTCCTTCATTTCGCTCGCGTCGATTTCACGTGGTTTTTCTATTGGATTTGTAACGTTTTAACTGTGTTCTATATCTTGGTATTGATGATGCCCTTCATATATCTCGTTCCATTTTTACACTGGTCTCCTGGTTCCGGCGGCGTTCGGGCGAGTGTTGTGCTGTCGGCAGGCTCCTCCATAATTTGTATCAGACACGCGAGTGTCTCCTTAGTACCTATACAGATTACAAAAAGCAATCATTTTACATTGCCAGTGGAGTAGGTGATGAGGTCTAGTGGACAAGTTGTAGAAGCAATGCCCAGATGCCACCTAGTTGCCTTGATAGGCGCAGAAAAAGGGGGGGATTAAGAATGAAATAGCTTGTAACCCTAGATATCTTGGAAGTTTTTACATTGAGTAAATAGTGACCAAATCTGATATTGTATACAAGGTACTCGAACTACTAACCGCGTTGACCTCGAATGTAAAAGCGAGGCTCTGATTCGGCAGTCCAGTTGATTCACGTGATGGTCAATTGGCGGATGATGATTGGCTATCGGGTTGCCGCAAGCATTGTGAACGTCGCGGAGTCTCCCGGTTTTCTACGACTGCCTTGAATCTCAGTTGCTGCTGTCAATCACCGCTCTATTAGAACAGTTCTTGCTTAGGTCCTGCTTCTTAGTTTATAGACAAGATGGTATGTGTATCCCGATCTGGAATCTTTACGTTTTAATTAGGTTAAAAGTCCGTTCACTCTCCGGGGGCTCAGGTTATGAGAGTGATGTTCAATCGCACCATAGACTGGCTGTCAGCAGAGAAACTATATGAAACTCCCCAATTGCTAACAATTCTTGTCGCTATAGTTCTCTCAGACTCTTCGTCGTGCTGCGGCCCAGACTGCTGGTGCCTACCGCTCTCCTTTCGCTCCCAAGTGAGATCCCTCGAACTTCCAATTGACGGTATTCTATCACGATATACACGTGGGCTGTACCTGTACTCTGGGCTAGGCTAGGTCTTGGAAACAGTCTCTTGAACCATCTTAAGCTCTGAGCGTGCGGCTAGCGAAGGCTGCCCACGCCGTATCACCAGGGTTGAGACCTACATAGTTGCCGGTCGGCAGAGGAGCCCAATGAAATCGTTGAATACGCAACCAGGGTGATGAGGGACGCTTGCTAATTCGAATCCTTGATGGTCTCTAGGTACACTACTCCTCTCAACTTCCACGGTGTGACCGTCAGCGCTGCCACCAAGTAGTGAGTACCACCTGTTCTATACTCCCACTCAGATATCTGCCATTCGGCGGGTTTCTCTGCTCCATTATTCGAATCGCACTGACCGTGTTGCGATCACAGTGCTCAGATTGCCGCCACTTTCGGTGCCAGCGCTGGTGTCTTCGCTCTCTTCTTCTTCGGTGAAGTTCCCCGTGTCCGCAACGATATCTTGCGTCAGCTTCCTTTCTTCGACGAGTACTTCGACCGCTCCATTGCCCCCGAGGACAACGTATGTACCTGTTTTCTCCAGCTAGGATTGCCGATTCCTAATGTACCATGCTAACAATCATGTAGCCCTTCTAAACTTTCCCTTACGAAGTACGATCCATCAACCATATCCTACTCGCGGGGATTTCTTATGTTTGCGCATATGCTCCCTATCAGCTATATAGTGGAGGAAGGAGTCGGTTCTGTACTGTGTAGAATAGCAGCGATGAATTGTGACAGCACATAGACACGCCTCCTTAATTATTACTTCCTTTGTCTCTGTTTGGGATAGTTCCTTGCCACCGTTAGGTACTGCAAGTGGACCTCCGGTGATCAGTTGCATTTCCGGCATGTCGGGGGAGCCTAAAGCCAACAGTCCTGCTAAATATAGGGATTGATATATATGTCAAATGATGGTTGATAGTGTGGTGACAAAGTCCATCCATGGTCAGGGTTTCCCATAAGGGCAGGTCCAGCCTACTTCTATCACAGTAAGAATATGCTTTTAACAAAGAAACACTGATCGGATTAATAGGCGTTATCATGTCGAATTAAAACCCTCCGTAATCCCTTTATCTTTTGGTTCCTCCTCTTATCAGAGCTTGAACATTCGTCCGTCGAGACGCCACCCACTTCGAGCTGATAAGAAACCCCGGCATTTTGTGTCTTGGGCCTCCTTACTGGAACCAGAGAGGTCGAAGCTATGTGACCAACCTTCTTTTAAAATGGCGCCGCCTGAAACTACCCTACTGAGTATGGATCATGCCGCCAAGCTTTAGATAGTTGTGCGATCCAAGCGGAGTAGACCGATGCTGCTGCAACATGAATGGCCTACTGCATACAAAAGAGAGTGTGACCAGATGCCAAGCAACAGTAACCCCCCAACCTAGGAAGTTTCTCCCAGCTTCACCCTCCCATGTCATTCCCAGATTACTATTATCGGTTGAACTATCATCAGCCAAAGAGAATGCGTCTCACCCATCATGGTTTCGATCCTGGGGGATGTGGATACACTTCCCCCCCCCCCCGTGCAGAGTACATGGCTACTTTTGATATGACTATCGTTACGCAACCCCCCAGCCCGGGACATATTCGCATATATAGTCCTTTTCTTTTCCCCTCTTCGGCAGTTCACCGTTGAAGTCACCACCAAAACGCTATATTTGTGTCACGGCAGCGTCACAGACTTTTGGTCCCCCGGCGACAATCCCGTGGTCAGCTTGGAATGACTGGTTGTCTGATATCCACCGCTTCTGCAGGGATAGCTGTCTGCCTGCCTCAAAAACTGTCAAGATCTAAATCGACCCGCGATTGCGCAGAAGGACATCGTCACCATGTCTTCCGTGGGCAAGTCGACGCCTTTAGATAAGACTACCTCGAAGGGGTCGGTATACGCCGATGTGGACCATGACCCAGTAACCACGGTGTTGCCAAATGGCGACGTGCCTTATACAGACCATGTAATGGACGCGGATGAGAGGGTCATTGTAGCCCTGGGGTACAAGCAGGAGTTCAAACGAGAATTCTCGCTATGGACGACATTCTGCGTCAGCTTTGCTGTGCTTGGGCTGCTCCCATCATTTGCAAGCACAATATACTATGGTAGCTATCCTGACGCCGAGGGTATTCTAACGGGCTGACATCCGTCCAGGAATGGGCTATGCGGGAACAGCAGGCATGGTCTGGGGTTGGATCATTGCCATGGTTTTCATTCAGTGTGTTGCCATGTCAATGGCTGAACTGTGTTCGGCGATGCCAACAAGGTACGTCCATCCCAATTTCTTTCGCGTCCACCAAACACCTGTTCTGGTTTTTTTCTATTGAAACTGACATCACCAGTGGCGGCCTCTACTATGCTGCTGCAGTACTCGCACCTCCGGGGTACGGACCATTCGCGGCGTGGATCACTGGGTGGTCCAACTGGATTGGACAAATTACAGCGGCACCGTCGGTGGATTTTTCACTGGCTGCGATGATCCTGGCTGCAGCATCGATAGAGAACCCGGAGTACGTTCCTACTTCCTGGCATACATTTCTCCTTACCACACTTATCATGATACTCCACGCTGTAATCAGCAGCATGCCAACGAAATGGGTTGCGCAGTTCAACTCATGGGGCTCAACGTTCAACATGTTTGCCCTCGTTGCTGTCATTATTGCCATTCCGGCAGGGACGAAGAATGAACCCAAGTTCACCCCGTCAAGGGAAGTATGGGGGACAATCACCAATTTAACCGACTTTCCGGATGGGGTTGCAGTGCTCATGACCTTTGTCGGTGTGATCTGGACCATGTCCGGGTACGATTCTCCGTTCCATCTGAGTGAGGAGTGTTCCAACGCAAACATCGCCTCTCCGCGAGCCATCGTGATGACCTCGGGCGTCGGGGGTCTAATGGGCTGGTTCTTGCAGCTTGTAGTCGCTTACACCGTTCTTGACATCGAGGCGGTGATAGACTCTGATCTCGGACAGCCCTGGGCATCATACTTGCTGCAGGTGATGCCACAAAAAGCCGCCCTGGGAATACTCGCTTTAACTATTATTTGTGGTTTTTCGATGGGCCAGGGATGCATGGTAGCCGCGTCGCGAGTCACGTACGCCTATGCCCGCGACGATTGCTTCCCTTTATCAAGAATATGGAAAAAGGTTGACAGTCGCACTAAAACACCCGTGAACGCTGTCATTATAAACGCCGTCCTCGGGGTCCTTATGTGCCTCTTAATCCTCGCCGGGGATGTAGCAATTGGCGCTCTATTCTCTATCGGTGCCATTGCGCAGTTCGTTGCTTTTGCGATCCCTATTTGCATCCGGGTGTTCTTCGTTGGGAGCCGTTTCCGGCGGGGGCCATGGCACTTGGGGGCATTTGGTCCCTACATTGGAGCAGCGGGCGTGCTCTTTGTGCTGCTGATGGTGCCAATTCTGTGTCTTCCCAGTGTAACAGGGGATGATTTGACACCGGACCTGATGAATTGGACGTGTCTTGTCTGGGGCGCTCCAATGCTGGCGGTGAGCATCTGGTGGGTAGTAGACGCCCACAAGTGGTTCAAGGGTCCAAAGGTCAATGTGGAGCATGCCATCCACCCCGTGGAGGAAGAGAGGCCCGTTGTCGTTGATGTGGGGTTCGATGACGGCGAAGAAGAGTATACGTCGGACCCAAATCAGGGCTAAGTGGTCATGCCCTGGGGCGTACATTTACGAAATCATATATCTAATTTCACTTTCTGATCGTTTATATCACAGTCAACTTTGCATAGTATGGATGTAGCATATCAAAATGACGGTATCTTTTTCTTCCCATACACACCGAAATCTCACGATGTATGATATTAGTCCGCAGGCAAACCTGAAGCTGAAACGACAGTTATCCCCTGCTACTGGTAGATCGTTAGCCAAACGGTGTAACAAAGTGAGGCGCCAGATTCGACATGTCACAATGTACTAATTAAGGAAACGATCGAGATCACAACCGAGGCATTCGACCGCACTCCCTAAATAACAAATCCTACCTTGCAGGTGAACACAGCGAGAAGCAGATCGCCTTCCAGAGTTATCTTGAATGTATCCAGTTGCCTACACAATCACGGGTCTGAACTCGGCATATCCGTTTAGGGGACAGAGTGAGGGTCCATCTTGGACTATACATGAGGGAATGATGAGAAAGTTGAATATGCCGCTTGCCAATGCGAGTCATACTCTTGGGGAATTTATTGGCGTGGTCTAAAAGTGACAACCTAGATATAATCCTTTTGATCAATTTGTCAGGACGGAGTAATTGTTTGAAAACTACCACATCCACACTGCCTCTCAAGTCCATATAGATACAATGCTTAACCAAAGATATCTTCCTCTTCTATTTATAACCGTTATTGCAAAATGATCTTGGTTCGGAAAACGCCGAGTTGTCATACCTACAGAGTAGACAAACATCAACTCAGTCAACCGGCGAAGCCCTATAATTGACATGACGTACAGCATCTCAATCCCAAGTCCACTCGACTCGAGAATAAAAATATACAGCCTCACATCAAAGTCAATCCTTATACTGACATCATCACAACAAAAAAACAGACACACCCGACCCTCGCAGTACATAACCAGGAAGAACCGGCACATCAAAAGCATCGCCTCGTAACAAAAAGCACCATCCACATGAGAGATCACATAAACCCTACTCAGTACAGCCCATAAGTATACATACGGAGTACCACCTACATCACCGCGGATAAGTCCGATGCAAGAAGGTTTGGTCCCCAACCTATCAGAGGCACGCATCCAGCTGCAACCGTCCTTGCATCGCGTCGTTAGCCTTGCGCACAAGCCCTTCCTGGTGCTGTACTTTGCGCCGAGGTACCTGGTATGTACACTGCATGGCTATCGGATCTGGGTTTTGTGTTTGCCTGCAGATAAGAACGACGTGCGTCATTTTTCTCTGGGTATTCCTTGCATATTTGTGTATGCATTGTTTTACGGGGGAATGCATGGGTAGGGAGAGTATGTGCTCGGAATCGAATTCTCAATATCTCCTATCGAAAGAAGGGATATACTTAGCTATGCTATTCTAAGTACTACTACTACTCCTACTTTGTATACTTACCATTCCAAGGTAAGCAGATAGATAGACAGACATTCTAGAAAAACTCAAGCCAAAACTGACAAACTTACTTCCCTGGATCCACCATTCCGCTATTCTGCACATCAAGTCCATACACATACATCCACACTGCTACTACTACTACTTGCACTAGCTACAAAAGTATAGTATCCAGATATATAATTCAAACCAAACCATCTTTCAACTATAAGCCTATATTAAAACCTACAACCTATTAACCTCAAATACTAAGTTCAACGTAGAGACAATCATAGTCTATCCATCCCATCTCCCACTTACCCTACACCCACACCTTCACACCTACGCCTACACACCCACAGATACTCCCACTCACTCCCACTCACTCGGAGAGAGACACACAGAGAAGACAAACAAAACCTCACCAAATAATCCAACCCAACATATCCATCCCCCTCCTCTCTCATCTCAACACAAACAATCCTCAACTCCAAGCTCCACAAAGACCCCACAACGGCTCATTCCCAAAAGCCGCTTACCCATGCCATCTGCTCACAGAGAGTAAGAAAACACCTCAATCTAACCGATTCCAGTCTCAATTCTGCAGGTACGGAAGT